TTTTTTCACAATGAATCCTCCAGGGGTCATCAGGTCATAGACACTGTTGGACCGCCATCTAGTGGTTATTTGCAAACATCACAGAGATCACAGTCAGTTGTGTTTATGACTGTTTCAGATATCATCAATGACGTTGCCCAGAAGAGACTGGAGGAGTTCAAGGAGCCGGAGACTCATCCAGACGAATCTGACGTATAACATGGAAAGACTCAGCAATGACTTATTGGCATGAGTGTTTCATTAGCATGTTGTTAATGCTTTGCCTATGTTTTGTGTCATTGCACTGAAACTTAAAAAAAACACTGCTGCCAGGCGGCATTAGGGCACCAGCCGCGACAAGCTCCCACCTTTGTTTGGAGGCAGCTTCCTCTGCTGCCACACAGTCTAAGAGCAACTCCTGCTGATTGTGACTTCTTCGGGGGTTAGACTAGTTTTTGAACGTTTTCTTACTTTCTATCGTTCTGGGGAATGGATCGTTGATACAGTTATGGTGTCATCCCTTCACATCTATTTTATTCGGTTCCGTTTTCTGTACTCATATTTAAAACGCCGAAATTCCCAAATAAATATTTTCTTTACAGAAGTTTTCATCTGAAAAAAATGTTTTAGGGGTTTAGTTAAACTTTAACAAAATGTATTAAGCATTTTATGGGCCCATGCCATGTTAATTATTTTATTTTTGTCTGCTGATCATTTATAAGATGTGCCTGTGCCACACTTCAGACTCCTGACGGCGACACAGAACAAATAACATAATATTTTTTTCGTAGCCAAAGTAATCCAGTCCCCATGGAAAATAAATGTACTAGTCAGCACATAATGTAGATGAGCGCTTGGGCTCCCCACACTGGGTTTCTCTAAAGATCAATGACAACACAGTAAAGATGTTCTTCTTTTCTCTTAAGTATTGAAATGTCTTTCCTTCACTTGTCTTTAGTCTAGCAGCTTTAGGTCTCGTGTCAGAGCTAATTCCAAGGTGTGTTAGCCTATAGTGTTTTATATTACAAATACTATATCAGTTGTACTTTCTGATCCACAGAACAGTCTTTGGGCCAAACATTTCAAGACTGCCAAGGTGCTGTAACCACTTTCTGATGTCAACGGGAATGGTCTGTTTTTCTGTGTAAAGAACTTTATCCAGGCATCATTTTTAGATGTTGATAGAGAGTTGAGCTAATCTGGTACACACATATGTGGTAGGACCATAGACTGTGGTAGGACATGGCAGTGATGTCAATGGAACATGATGCTTAATGACTGAAACTGGAACACTGCTTTATTTTCAATGAGTTACATAAAAAGACTCAAATTTGCTTTGACTTTACTCTTCTGTCTGAAATGACGACGGTGAGAAGCTGTTGTTAATGTATCATGAGCCAATTAATGTTCGTGCCTTGTGAACGTCAAAGGTGTTAAATATTAAAGTCACTTTAAATCCTTACTACAATACCTTTGTTATCTTTGACACATATAGAACCTGCTGTGTGTGTCTGTTACTGCAGCTCTGTCGCCCTGTTAAAGTTTCCACTATCAACATTTACCATCACTGACACAATATGTCTTTACAATACACAATGCTATAATTTAATGCTATAATTTAGTTATTATGATCTGCATTTGCACAAATTACTCAAACTTAAAAAAATAAAAGGCGATTGTTCACACATTCTGAATGTCTATCTGTCGTCAACAGCAACATTTAGTTTTTCTCAAGTTGTACCTTGGTGGAGATGTACTTGAAATGATTGGCTACAGCCAGGAAAGTATAAATAGCAGTTTGCTTCAATATCAGTCCATTTCACTGTATGTTAACAGGATAAGCCAGCCTGTATAAATATCGCCCTCCGTGGACTCAGCCTGACAACTTGCCCTCGAACAGTGTGGCATCAAAGGCAGCTGCCTTGACATGACCGTGGCGGTTTCTGTTGCCACCGGAAGTGCCTCTGCGAGCAACCGCCGCTGCCACAATCTGAGCTCGTCCTCATTGTTGTGGTTACGGCGGTGACACTTCCCTGAAACATGGCGTCTGCTCCTCACAACCACAGAGAACCTAGCGGGACGTACACCTTCTCCAGCCGACCCCGGGCCGTTGAGACCCGCAGCAAATTCAAAGAAGCTCCGGATGAACAGTTCGTACCATCCGGAAACAATTTATTAAGCTAAAGAAGTGCTGATGTTAACAAGTGTCACGTTCAGCTGCTAATGCTCGACTGCTTTATGTTTTTATTTTTTGGCAACGCAGGACACACAGTAGCTATGGAAACATTATGTATGACCGTCGTGTTGTCCGAGGAAATACTTATGCTCACCACATCATACCAACCGTAAGTATGAAATATACATTTTTTCTTTGCTGTCTTCCTGGTTGATTTGTTTTCCTTTAGAACACTTTATTTTAAAGATGTGTTTTTGTCACGCCCCATTTACAGACAGCTCAGCCAGACCCTGCTGAACTACAGAGACAGCAGCACATCCGGCGGAGAGCTGTCGCTCTAAAGAGAGCTCAAGAGCAGAGCAGACCCAAGACTCCTGAAGCTGTGCAGGGCAGAAAACACACTGATGTACAAACAGGTGAAACATTATTCTTAACAGCTTCAGAAGTTTCACCTCTGCGTGTTATGAAAGTGTCTTTTTGAAGTACTYTGTCCTTTATTTTCAGATCTTTATCTTGAAGAACTGAGTGATGTTATAGTGACCACAGATATTGAGTGTCAGACTGATGCTTTCCTGGACAGACCAGCATCCCCACTCTTCATACCCGCCAAATCTGGAAAAGATGCTGCAACACAGATAGAGGAGGGAGAGGTGGGTAAAACAAACGAGATGTTGCCACATTTCATCGATTATAAATCAATCACATCATCTGGGTTATTGAAGTGTGTTTAAAATGGTGAATAGGTGAAGAGATAAATTGTGGGAACTGTTGCTTCACAAGTCATCCATTGCTTGTCTTTTGTAAGTCTCCCAACCTTGATTAAGTAAATGTTAAATAACATGTAGAATATCTGCAGGTTTGTTCAAATCAAGTATCAAATTTAATATTTTAAAGTACACAGCACAGCACCACTCATGACCAGTATGTTGTGTAGTTGTTTGACTTTGACAGGGAGGTACAGCCCGTGCTGGAGGTGCTGGTGGGTAAGACAATCGAGCAGTCTCTGCTGGAGGTGATGGAGGAGGAGGAGCTGGCCTATCTGAAGGCCCAGCAGAAGGCTTTCCAAGAGCTCCGGAATAACAGGCTGGCAGAAGTGCAGCGCCTTCAGGAGCAGGAGAGACGCCACAGTGAAGAAAAAGTAAGTACATTTCAGAAAATCATTTCACTGAACTTTATGCTGCATCTCTCCCCCTAGATTTCAAGAGTAAATCTATTAGCTAATAGGTTTGTTTACTTATGCTGCAATGGTAATGCCACTGTCAAGCAAATCAGATGAAGCACATGCTATGCTCTTCAGTATTTAACTTTTTTCAGTTTATTACTAGGATTTTTTTCCCCAATTTAAATCAGTGTCAGTTTCACAAGTCCTTGCTTGCTGTTTTATATTGTGCCATATGAGAAGAATTCATCAAGAACAGAAACAGAAAATATACCTGTAATTTAAAACGTTCCCACTGATCTTCAGGAACGTAGGATTGCACAGCAGAAGGCGGTGCTGGAGAAAGAAAGAGAGACTGCAGAGAAGATTGCCGCCCGGGCGTATACGCAGCAGTACCTGGCTGACCTTCTACCTGCAGCCTTCACCTCGCTCAGAAACCATGGCTACTTTTACGACCCCGTGGAGAGAGGTCAGCCTCCGTTTGCCACAATGCTTTCCTGCATGATTCAAACTCAAGTTGCCCCCTTTACTGTCACACAGGGGCATCACAGCACTCAACTACCTTTAACCTGTTGTCATATTTGTTTCTGATTTCCAGATATTGAAACATCTTTCCTACCATGGCTAATGAATGAGGTCAACAACAGTTTGGAAAAGAGATGCGCAGCTAGACAGCTTCTGGACAGTAAGAGAATTCAGTATCATAACTTTAAATTAAGGCGTTTTTCTTCTCACTGAGTAGTTCACAAATAYGCAAACACACAAAATATTATACAAAAGTACAAATAACAGTAACAGATATAATCCAATTAGTTTGTACCCTCTTGAAAGTTTGGTCTAAAACCCAAACAAGATTTGTGTAGTGTACCTTTTCTCTCTAGAGATTATAGTTGACAGACAAAAGTTTTTTCACAATGAATCCTCCAGGGGTCATCAGGTCATAGACACTGTTGGACCGCCATCTAGTGGTTATTTGCAAACATCACAGAGATCACAGTCGGTTGTGTTTATGACTGTTTCAGATATCATATATGATGTCGCCCAGAAGAGACTGGAGGAGTTCAACGACCTGGAGACACAACCAGACGAATCTGACGTATAACATGAAAAGACTCTGCGATGATTCAATGGCATGAAACTTTCATTAAAATACATTTCTACTTGTAAAACCGCCTCTTTTATTGGAGAAAGGTGAACAAAAGTGACTAAGGAACTCTAAGCATTTAAAAGGACCATTGGAAATTCAGAGCACCTTCCTGTGGCTCATTTATTTGCATCTGACATTGCTCTGCAAACAGTTCATTCAGGGACACTAACAGGCAAATGCAAGAATGTTTTGCATTACTTGGAAAGACTCACTCTTCCTCTCAGTTAACATGACTATATCCAAAAAAAAAGGTTTGTGTTATCATCTTCATGTTCTACTTTTAGTTTGTGTATACTTTATCCAATAAGATACTAAATTAACTCAAAAACTATTGTAGTTAAGGAAGTGACTGTGACGATGACGATGATGATGAAGGGCACAGCCAGGTTTTGTAGAGCTAAGTGTTGTGTACAGTTGTCACGTCACTCTTTACTTTTGTATAATGGTGAGAAGTAGGTCTAACCTCTGATATATACGGCTCTATTTTAATCCTGCCACCTCATTGGTCAGCTCACCTATGCCACCTCCCCCCTCTCCTGGCAGTACTTCCTTGGTTCAGTGTCACTTCCTCCACTGGTGAAATATTGTGCAACAGCAAAAAACAAAAGACAAGTTTGTGCTGTGATGAAACTGCCCAGGAGGTGTAGCTTTACACAGCAGACAGATGAGGATTGAATGTTTTTATTAAGAGACATAGATGGTTTTAGCAGGTGTTGCTCAAATAATCCACCTGAAGTTTTCTCAGGGAAAGTGGCTTAAACACAATCAATCAATCAAATGAAACCCCTTTTGAAAAAAACGTGTACATCAGAAAGGTGTTGCAACATATATGATGTCACTGGTATTACTTTGTGATACTGTTGAATTTTATGTTATATTAAGGTTAAATAGGTTTGTCATTTATTGTCTGGGAAAATTAGTGAATTGTGTTTCAAACACTATAGTAAAATCCTAAAATGAATTACAAAATAACCTAAAAACATTAGCCATTACACTTACATCATATTTATTTATTCCTTTGTTAATTTACTGTTTTTTGGGAGACAGACACTCTTGGTTATGCTTTAAAATGATCATGTAACAAATTAAACTGTGGTGTTTGCATAGTGATTTAATGTACCAGGAATTAGCCATAGTCTTCACTGGCTTTTATACAACAGCTATACAGTACAGTTCACAGTTGAGGTTGAAATCCTGATTTCTTCTCAAGTTCTATCGACTCCTAAATTAAATGTTGAATTGACTCTTAAGGGCTCTGCTTGTGGGTGGGGAAACTCCTCCTCCACTTAAAATTTCCTTGACACAATTTTTTATAGGTGTGCTTTCTCGTTGTTCTGATCTCACCATCTATTTTAATCATTATATAATGTTTTATTTTATCTTCTGTATGTGATCTATTGCTGTGTGATCTTAATAGTTTCTTATTTTGAAATATTACCTATCATTTGCTTTAAACTTGTTTTTTTTTATCTTAAAACCATTAACTAGGCTTTGAAATTAGCTATATAAATAAAATCCATTATTATTATTCTATTATTAAGATAATCAGGTAAACCATCAACCAAATTCGTGAAATGAGCCCTAATCATTACTGTCTTTAAATAACAGCCACAGTACGTTTTTCAAATACAACTATACATTATAGTTCACAATTAAGGTTGCCATTTTTGTTTGAAACTTCTATTGCCCCTAAATCCTAAATCCTCTAACGATGAATTGGCTCTTGAGGACCCTGCTGTGGGTGGGGAAAGTCCATCTTTAGATAAAATCTCCCTGAACACACAATACTGAAACTAGTTTTATGCGTAAACCCCCTCAGTGGGTCCCCGGACCCATGGTTGTGAACCGCTCCTCCTCCTCCAGCAGCACCCTACCGGCAGCAGCAGGTACTGTCTGGGCCGGGCCTCCTCCACGGTTGGCTGGTTGGATGGATGAGCGCCATATTGCGCCTGGCTGAACAGAGGGAGGGGAAATCTGCGGCTGCGAAGCGTCTCTCTCACCAGCACCTCGTCTCATCAGCAAGACTTCAACTGTAAGTCAATAGATATTTAACCGGCGAAACAAACCCTGCGCTCTTGCTGCGTAAAAGCTACCCACTTTACGCACTTTGTTTTCCGCGCACTTTCTGCCTGCTGTGCACAAAAGAGACAAATCTCCCAACAGGTGTCAGTGGGATTAAACTGAGGATGTGTGTGACTGCAGCTCAACACGATCACAGCCTCGGTTCAACACTCACACCTCTTTCTTTCTTTCGACTCTTTCAACTATTCCACCGCTTTACAACTTATAAAATCTGTGTGGTCTGTTTGGGTCGTTCAGAAACACTAAAGGTGGATTTTCTCGTTTGCTTGGCTCGTTAGTTTCCCTGTAGCTATGGGTGTGAACCGGTGTCACACACACGAAACCTTTCCAAGAAAATGAATCACTGATAATCATCTTTGTTGAATTTTTGTTACAGCTTCAAAATGATACAATCTAACTGTTGATTCTGTGGTTTCATGCAATATTGTTTCTGTGTTGGTAGAATCCACTTTATTCATCCACACAGATAAACCTGAGTTGACATTAATGAGGGTTTGTTCGTTAATGTTCAGAATAAGAGTTAAACAAGAGCAGGGTGGAGACTAGGTTTCTCACAGCTACTGGGTGAGGCTGAGGACCATATGAAACCTGCTGCTGCTGCCTGCATGAGTCAAATTCATCAAGGTGGATTAAAAATCTTTAATTTCCTGTGTCTGATTTCACAATAAAACTAATGTCAGGGACCAGAGAGGACCACATTAAACACCATTGGCATTAAACTAATAGGTTATTTGGATATTAGACAGAATAATTTATATTGGAAGGATAAGCCACAGGTCATGGTATTGTATTGTTATAGTTTTTATGGTTTTAACACCATATTAAAAAGTAATCAGTCACATAGGAAACAATTGGTTCTAATTTCGCGAATGTTCTGATTTGCCTATCCTCAGTTTTATATAATTGAAAATGAAATATTTTATATACCACCTTGGTTTTGTCTCTGACGTTTTTGACCATGATCATTTTTTATTTATTTATTGACTAAATGAAGGATTTATTAAGAAAACAACAAACCCAACTTGTGCAATGTCTAAAAAATAATAATTGGCATGTCACTGAAAATTAAATGTTCTCTGGTCCCAGTGCAGAAATGTTAAGATTTTCTAATTTTCCCTGTTTTAAATTATTGCTAAGTTCTCTTAGTTTTTTTAAAGTTATTCAGACAAGATTGAAGAATTTGAAGATATCAACTTGATGGAGTTGTCTTTTTTTTTTTATTCCAAGGAAATAATAACTTTTTAAAAATATTGCCAATATTGACTAAGTCCTAGCTTCTGTCTGTGCTGGTGGTGTAATGGTTCGAACGATGGCTTCAGTGTATACAATTCTTTTTATATAAAAACTTGCAATAAATTTAACAGAGAATAGTTACTCAAAGTCATAAAAGAATAGATGAAGAAAAGCTGTTTATCTAAAACATTTTTTACAGGTAGTTCAAAAGTTTTGTCCAGGAAGTCCCCAAGTGCTTCCGACAATTTTTTTTTGTCTTGTCAGCACAAACAATGATGATAATAACTCAGGAACAGGCTCGGTGACATTGTGATGAGGTAAGAAGAACCAGTCTATTACCAGAGTTGCCAAGACTCGTATGCTCTTATTTTGAAGGGCGGCTCAGATTGGCGTTCAGGCGCTTTGTCAGTTTCCTGCTGTGAGCTTGTCGCCTCCTCTCGCGGTGATTCATCGTGATGACTGTCGCCCGCAGGAGTGTCGAGGCGCTCTCCGCCGGGTTTAAGTAACGCACAAGTGTCTCAAACTCGTTTCTCCTCTTTCTCTCTTTTCAGAGAAGACGCAGAGAGAAGTCACACGGAGCTCAGGCCTCTTCTTCTTTTAAAACGAACGGCTCCTTGCACAGAGGAACGGAAAGGACAGAAACATGCCCAAAGCGGTAAGATGCCTTTGATTTATTGACATTTTCACTCACTTGTTGTTGTGTCACAACCTATAGGCTCCGGAGATCAGAGGGAATATGACGGAGGAGGATGTATTGATAATAAATAATAATATAATAATGATCAAATGTACATGGAGTTTTGATCACATAGGTTTTTATAAACTGTTCTATATTTTTAGTTTACTCACATTTTTAGTGATGTCAGAATATTTTATCTAGTTTAAAATGAGAGAAAACTTGAATCTAAATGGATTAGTGAGGATATGAGATGTGATCATTTTATTGGCTATGGAATCAGGGCTGGAAAATATGACGGAAAATCATATAAAGACACATTTCTTTCATATAAATTGATATTGATAATCATCGCGATAAATGCCACATTATGATATTCATGAGTGACGATTGTGGTTTCTAAGGTAGATCAATTATGAGTTATACCTCCTCTCTGTAGTTGTACAATTTATAAGCAATATACCAATAAATATTGAACTTTTGTCATATTGCGATAGTTGTTGATAGGGTTTGTGATGTCTTTGTTGTCTTGGAAAAAAAAATATTTTAAACACTTTCTTGGCAGTGGCAGATTGCCAGCGTTCTTATAGATGCCATGAGTTCCTTAACTTTCAAGTTGAGTGATCATTGTGAAACACTTTGCATATCAATGTTTTTTTTAAATTGGTCGCCTCTGTCAAACTTTCCATGAATGATTCAGCAACAAAAGATGGGCTTAAAAAAAAAAGAGAGAACTTATTTTATTATGTCATAGAAACTTGCAGTATCAGTGGGGTCTCTGTTAAAGTGGAATGCCACTCAGATCACATGCTTATGTCATATCCTGGGGGTGTGTCATATGTATAAGGACATCATCGAGCCATAAACAAGAACTGTGAGAATCAATGGGACGCACAGATTGGGTTTTATTTGTTTTTTACAGTGTATATGATGAACACAGGGTTGTCTCTCAGTGTATGAAGGTTATTTTCAATGTGGGATTTCTCTCCACTTCATCTCCTGTCATCTTCTTAGAGACTATGTCATATTATAAAACTGACCCACATTACTTATCATCAGTGACTTTTCATCAAAGGAAAGACCAAAAAGAAAAGTATTTGATTAAGTACTCCTTTACTTGAGCAGCTCCTGACTCATGTTGCTCCACCCCACCGATCCCATACAGCTCAGTCTCACATGGCACTCGTCTCTCCCTCTGTTCACTGTTCGGAAATTTCTAGTAGGCGAATGACAGCCTATGTGTATTTTACAGTATGTAGGAAAATGTGATGGAAATGAGTAAAACATATTTCCATTTTGTTTTCAGCATTAAATGTGTTTTTTCCCCTCTATGCTATGTTTTCTTTTCCTTTTTTTCAAAAAAGCAAGATTTAAAGTCCAGACGTGGCTGAAACTTCAATCGCAAAAATTTCACAAGTAATAACATTTCAGTTAAAAACTGATAAGAGCAGAAATTTCCCAGACAGTCTTTATCAGATCATGATGCAGACGTGTTGTGATGACAATGACTAGAGCCTCCGGTCAGCGTCATAACGTGTGTTGTGGCTTTGTTTGGAGTAGCCTCAGGGTTGTCAGGAGCGTCGCTGTGGAAATGACATCATGACTGTCTGATAGCCGCTGCCACAAAACAGCCTTTTTTCTATAAGATGATAATATCAAACTGTTTTCTTTTCCATGACATCAAGAACTCGGGAGCTTAACGTTTTTTTATTTTATTATTCAGTTCAGTCACTGACCCCTCATACATAAAGTGGTTCATTTGATACTGTTGCCCCACTTTCAATTAAAGTTTCACTTTTAGCAGCGGAGAGATGTAAATAAGGGTTTATGTTTTGACATCAGACAAGAGGGTGAAATTAGATTTCTGTTTTGAAGAGTCAGTGGTTCAGGCAAGTAGCAAGAAATATTTCACAAATGGAAGTGGAAGGCAGTGGACGGCGGAATGTCCATATTATTAATTTTCATATAAAATGGGGAAAAGAATCGATTTTGCAGTAGCTCTAAACCCACATTGGGAGTTACCGAAAATTCAAAACACAAAGATCTTCAGCATGATAAGGAAAAACCACAAGTTCTCTTAAAACAGAAAAAAATTAACTGGCATTTTTCTTGAAAAATGGCCAAAAAAATGTGTTTATTATCAAAATAGTTTCCTGTTAGTTGATGATATTTGTATTGTAATCACAGGAGAAAACAGGCAAAACAGGGTTTCCACTCCACAGTCACAGAAACCCTGCAAATGTGCAGAATTTAAGAAAAAAAAGATTTAATCATAAAACCTGTTGGACAGCAACACAAGTTGAATATTTTGAAGACACGTAAAGTCTGACTGTACAATCTACAGAGGAGTTGATGCGAGTCAAAGATACATGTCTTGTACATGATGTTCAGGGTTTTAATTCTGATCCTTTCCTCTTCACTCCAGACTGCTTCTCCTCTTCTTCACTTCTCTTTAAGGGTTGAATTACAGCAGACCGCTTTAGCTCAGTTGTGAAGTTAAGTCTCAGAATCAAAGATCAAAGTGTGAACCTGCCTGAGATTTTGATTGTGACTGGCACAGAAACCTACATGCAGCTTGAATTCTTACAGTTCAGTTACTGGCATGATACCAAACATTCCACCGCGGTGTGTTTGGAAAAGAGAAACTGAGTTTTTAAATGTTGTTATTATTATGTAGAGGAGCAAGGTGCCTGGTAGCAGGAGGTTGGGTCAGTTTTGAGGAGCAGTGGAGGCTCCTGAGCTGGTGACTCATGTTTCACTTATCTGAATGACACATTGTCAGGAGGAAACGATTGTGAGCCTCTGCTCTCCCAGAATCCTGTTTCCCTGCGGCCGCTGCCCTTGACGCAAACCATACAAGGTGTGGTCACGACCAACATGGATGGGTGTTTTCCTTTTCATGTCCAGTTCTATTGTTAGTATTTGTTACTTTTAATAATTGATAACTCAGTCATGTTTGGAACGCCCTCCAGTCCTGATTGATGATTCGGTTGAAGTGGTTACTAGTCTGTTGCTGTTTAATATTGACAGAACCTATAGAAAAACACTTACAACTATAGAGCCTGGCAGATATTTAGATATTTTCTGATATTGGGGAGAAAATATATCCTCTGATTAAAAATAGATGTCATTCAAAAAAAAGGATATTTTACAGTTAAACCATTTATTATTCACAACTTTTAATAAAAAGAAAACGTAATCACCATCAAATATATATAAATACGAATAAAGAAAATAACTTTAAACTTCTTTTCTGCTTCGTTCATTCTGTAAAATAAATGTTTTCATATCTGCAAATATAAACACGGCACCGATGTGTCTGTGAAAGACTCATATCAGCTGTTTTTTATTAGCACACCCGCTCTACTCAACACGCACCATGTCACTTCCTGAAGCCTCAGTGAGCGACACACTGGGCCTTTTCTCTCCATCCTAGCTGCTGCTCCGCACTCAAACGTCAGCAGTCATTTATTGCTATATGGCCATTTTCAGTGGCGTCCCCACGGCAACAGCCTTTGCAAAACACTTTAAAAGCCATGCAAACTATGCAGAGGGTTAAATATTGAATGGTCCTTGCTGAAGAATGTGGCGCAGCCTATTCACAGTTTAACTACTGAGGAGATGACCACCTCAATGGGAGCTGCTCTTTAACCTCACCTTTGAAAAGACAATGGGAGATATTCAGTTTATGATCATATTATAGATGTTTGACATTCTTGGTGAATACTTTTATTGATTCATTTGCAGAGCACTACCTTTTTCTGTTAATGAATAAATGAGCTATACAATTTATGATCTTGTCAGAGATATGACCGACAGTGAATCACCATATTACTCACGACTGAATATAATTGTCATGTGCAGTCCCAGTTAGAAGCTGTTTTGTTAAGATTGGAAATGGAATTGGATGATGCATCAGGAGGAAGATTTGTTGTCCATCTTTATTTAGAGTCCATGGTGCAGACATGTGTTTCCGAATGTCTCACCATTAAAGAACTGAAACTTCATTATATTAATCTAGTTTTGTCTGGGCTACCACAGAGCCGGTGTTGTTGTTGTTTCTTAGTTCCCAAAGTGTCGTACTCTCGACCGAGTGTGTGAAAATGTCTTAATGTGTGGTTTCAGCAGGTCAGAGTTGTGATCTAAAGCTGAAATGAATGGGTGGGTTTCCACAGGACTGACTCGTGAAGCACAGATTTATATGCGTCATATGAGCGTCTGCACTTTCCTCCCACTGAAGTTGTTCATTGTGGAACTCTGGGTCTTTGCCCTGTGTATTTTTAGCATATGTGTCATGTTTTCTTTACCTCTGTGAATGGCCTCAGTTTATTGTGAGTTACCGTTGGAGGACTTCACTTTGAGATCAGATATCACTCAGTGGTTTCTGTTGGCTCCTCTGCTCCGCACATTCACATGTTCCGTTCTCTGACTGTTAGGGTGTGTGGTTTTTTTTCTTTCTTTCTAGGTAATTCGTATGTAACTGCTCTAAATATAGATTGTGACGCTGAGAGAAGGAAACTCAAACCGTCCGAGCTGCTGCTGTTGAATCACAAAATCAGTTTTAAAACAAGGGGTAGGACTTGGACACTTATGTGATCACTGCTGCTGCGATTTCTCTGGGCTGTTTGTGGGAGTCTGGCTCCTCCAGGATGTAGATGATGATAGCGGGGGTCTGCTGGGGCACAGCAGCTGAAAGGGGAGCTTTGTTTTGCTGTGTGAAGTAAATGCAGTGTCCACCCCCTCCTTCCCCTGCTTTCTAGCTGTGACCTGAAGCCGGTGTAAGTCGCTCTGCTGGATGGTCTTGTAAAAAAAGTTGAAAATTGCATGCACATTTAGCCGAGCAAATTTGTTGGGGAAAGCAAAAGTTTGCTGGCTTCAATCCCCAGTGAGTCAACATGCTGGATGTCAGCATCATTGAATATCCACTGTCTAGACTATACCGTTTTCTTACAATATCCTCGAGAGCGCAGCGGTGAGGTGCTTTCCATCCAAAGGATTTGCCTTTCCTGCAGGATTTAAGTCTGTCAGTCAGTTGATTAGCCTGTGTAGGTTCACGGGAGACGATGAAGCTCTGACTCACTGGACGAGTCACTGTTTCTGCCCCAGACATCCCCCTCTTCGCAGTGGGCGTCATTGAAAATTGTTTTCATCACTGCTCACAATAGGCTGGAGTTAAAAGATGTCACTGGAGGGTTGTGTTAGCGGCCGTCCTCTCCTCAGTGTGTCCACTAACCTCTTTGTATTATTTTCACCAAGCAGTAATAAGCTCACTCAATACTCTGGGGCATCTTTGTCTTTTCATAACCCCCGCAAATACCAGAGACATGTGACATTAGGCGCAAAGAGAAGACTGTCAGTGTGAGCGTTGCCTCAAAGCAGTTATTGTAAATATTTGTGCATTGTTGCGAGGCCTTTGTGTGAAATTCAGATGCCGTTTGCTGATTACAGACCAAACCTACAATACTGAATATTGTTTCTCCCTATTAAGGGACACGGTTGACGTCAGTCGTCATTATTCCGTGCCGTGCACCAGTCATGCTGTTTGTACTGGTTTTGAAATTGTACATTAATCACTGTGGGTGGATCCCTGTAAGTGGACATTAAAGTCTCTGCCGATACGGCAGGTTTCAGTCCGATGTACAGCCTCTATTGTACGAACAAGTCACTCCGATCAATCATTAAACACCAAACTATAAGTTGTGTGTTCTGTTTTGTGAATGAGTTGAAGTGGCTGTTTTATTCATACCTCCTCCACCCACAGTGACAAGCATAGAGCCTCTAAGTCTATTACATTCAGATTTTAAATCCCATGCTTCATATTGTATCCAAGCACCAAAGAGTTGGAGTTCCCTTTATTCAGCCTTTCCAGAGATAAACACAGAGCTCTGTGTATTTACTCTGCAAACACACAATCGCACACACACACACCAAAGCAGTGCTCTGCAGTACCACGTATGGATCCTGGTTTCTCTGGATCAGTGTTTGAACTCCTGTTTTCTCTTGTTTTCTTTCCACAGGTCAATGTTCGCGTCACCACCATGGACGCTGAGCTGGAGTTCGCCATCCAGCCCAGCACCAACGGCAAGCAGCTGTTTGACCAGGTACAGTGAAAATCTGTAATTCTGTACGGACCTGACGCCCATATATCAATAAATACATGTGCTGACATATAAATATGTTTTCACTACATTTTAAAAAAAGGATGGAAACAGGGAAAAAATAAAGTTAAAGAGAAGAACAATACAAAGCAGCAGATCAATGCTCTTTTACTATTGGTTAAAGCAAATCTACATACACACGACATACGAAACAACAAATTGCATTTTATGGTGCTTACAATAATGCAAAATATACGTCCCAGTTTTCGTCCCAATTAAACAAATTAGATATTATGCGTTAATCAGTTAGTTTAAAATGTGCTCGTAGATTTTTACCTTCTGATAGAACCAGGTTAGACGTTTTGCTGTTTTCAGTCTTCATGCTTAAGCTGAACCAAGCGAAGCAGCTGCAGATTCCAGCCACACTGTGCATCATAGCAGATGAGCTGTTCCTGCTCATCAAGATCCTTGAAATATTCTGAGGAATCAAATTAGATGCCAAAAAAAAATCCAAACTTTTAGTGGGTTCTTTCCTGACTCATACTGCACCCTTCCAAGTTTCGTGGTAAAGTCAGGAGTTTCTGTGTAATCCTGCCAACTAACGAAAACATAACCTCCTTGTCAAAGGTAATGAAATGTGTTCATTTCCCAGCTATACTTTGATTTTGATGTCCACCATCTACTCTCCACTAAGCTGCTTCTGCCTCGGTCATTGTGTAAACTGGATTGACATCATTGCGAAAGATCTGTGTCTGAAGAAAGTGGCTGCCCTCATTATCTTCCCTTCAAAGCTCTTTGCATCCATCACACCCAGGTCTGAAAAGTTATCTCCTGCATATGCAGGAGCTTTTGGCCTCAGGGGGGTTAGGGTGAGGGTTAGGGTCCTTAGCAGTCTCTCGCTGCGTCTCAAATCGGATACTTCAGTTAGTTCACATACATTAATTATCTAGACTATAGCAGCTTCATGAAGAACTCCAAACACTTCTACTCTTAATTCATTTGTAATCATATGTACTATAACTAACATAGGTATGCATTCACAATATTGAGTATGTAAATGCGCATGAATGGAAATACCGATGGATGACACAGCGTCTCTGTGAGATTCAGACATGTTAATTGGTTCTTACTTTATAACTGAATTGACAAAACATATAGCAGTTGAGGCATTTATTGAACTAATGATTAATGTCATCAGTGATTAGTTTTTAAGTCTGTGAGGAAGTTACAGAGATAAAAGGTGTGGCCACAATTGAGTCAATTTTCTCTTTGCAATTGTTCGTCAAGTATAGAAAAAGATTTACCATTTATTTTCAGAGATATGATGAATTACAGACGTGATTATTGCAGGTGATCCCCTCGTCTTTATGGTGTGTGGCACCATTTTAGGAAATCTCTTCATCACTGTGGGTTTTTCAGGTTAAGCAAAAACTACTGAACGAATTTCCATGAAACTTTGTGGAAAGATCAAATTAGGGCAAAGAAAGAATCTGTTAAATCAATGGGCGGCTCCTGGAATTGTTGATTTTCTTGAACATTATGAAATGGGGCATTTCTTTGGACGCTTTCACTGGTTTTCCAGGAAATAATTCAGGGATCTTATTTACGGAACTTAAATTGATGCATGTTAACAATTTGGTGCAGCTTCATTGAATTTTAGGGAACCTTGGCTCTCTATTGAGTGCCACTGTGTACAGATTGATTGTTCTTCACTCTCGAATTTTTATAAGCACATTTTTTGTACAGCAGATGTGATCACGTGTTGACTAGAAATATTTCATTTTTAACCCTTTGCAGTTTCCATCACCTGCGACATTATATTACAAGGATTCTTACTTCAAATTTTCACAGTTCCTCTTGTGCTGTTGTGAAACTCGTCACTGAAAATCCTGATGTAGTTGACAGGTCATTAGCTTGAGCTCTCTTGAGGCTGCATGACGGCATTGAGGGAGGAAAGGCATTGTTTTAGCCACTTCCCGTAGAACCCGTTTTTTTAGTAAGTGTAAGCGACATGTCAGGGGATTCATCATGAAATGAACATGGCAAGAACAATTTGGCTAAAAAAAGATATGAATAAAATAACCATAACCATAATAACTCAGAAATAACCCAACTATATTCCCAGTCATATTCAGATATTGGTATTTTTGTATGCTATTGTACTCTGTGTCATCAGCAGTCATGAACAATAGCCGCAGGGCTCCTGTATCTTGAGCTTTTAACCTGTGGTTTTGTTAAAGGAAGGGGGGGGGTTCACCTTTGACATCTTTCTATTTATAGGTGCTGCTGAATTCTCCTGCCCACTTGTTAGAATGGCTCTCTGGGAGGTGTGCCGCAGACCGTCACTCACTTCCTCCGATAGTGTCTGACAATGTGCTGCTCTATTCTAGTGCAAGGGAGCGATTTACTAATTTGAGGGCAAGAATCCTGGCCGCAGCTCGTCTGAGGTCCGAGCAGCCGAGTGTCCATGAAGTCTGCCGGCTGCCGGACTCGGTGTTCCTCGACACGCAGACACAGTGTGCTTGACAGATTTTGTGGAAATGCTGACTAACAGCAGTGAGCTCACCCTCAGAGCGAGCCTGAGCTGTGGTGTGGCCCGTGTGGTCAGCGCTGATCATAGCCTTGGTCCCTGTCATGCCGCTGTGAAAGAGAAACGCCTGCCACTCCCCTACACACCCTCAAACAGTTTCACCTCCATACTGTTGCTCCACTGCTGCTCTTTTAATTTTTGCCTCCAACTGCAATTAGAAAAATCACAGCAGTCGTGGTTTACAAAAGATCTATTGGCTCACCCTCGTTTGTCTTGTTCATACCCTGTTAGCGTGTCTTCTATAATTTGGCTTTTGCGGTTTCAGCGTCTCTTCTCGGAAAAGGTTTGGACTTGTTAATAAGCTGGAGGAGGATTGATGTTAAACAGCTGAAAACTGGGCAACATCGGAAAAAATCTCAACTATGCCTTCTTGAACTTAATCCAAGTCCAAATAATCTGGCTGACAGGTGCCAAAGGCAAAACATGAAACTTGTTCTCATAGACACCCAACCCACATGTCAAAGCCGCAAAGCTGCTCCAAGTCAAGAACAGCTGAAAACATGACGTTCTAAAGAGTTCAACTTTGTCTTGGTCTGAATCCCAGTCAGAATAATCAGTTAACCGCAAATCTGCCCCAGGTCAAGAGAGTGAAACATGCTGAACGATGGTTTTTCTTCTTTGGTTGAAATATATTAGCAGAACTATTCTGATATTAAACCGGCTCTGTTTCACTCCCTTCACTCTTCAGTCACAATGAACCTGGTCTGACAGTAATAGACCAGTTTCCTTTGGGCCCCCGCCCCACCTCACTCCTTCATCTTTGTGCCGGATGGCTCCTATTCGGGACCCGAGTCGCTGAACCCCTCCCTTCCCCTCCTGAGCTGCTGGTTGACTTGCGTTACTCAGCCCAGAGGAGTCAGTGAGTAATGCTTTTTCAGGCCAGTGGCATTCCTCTGGCTCACCACAGGTTCCCCCATGAACCACGACGAGAAACTTTCGCTCTCTGACAGACGACAGTAAGACGAGGCCGCAGCCTTCAGCCACGCTCACAGACTTCGCTCCTTCGGCCGGAGACACAGGATCTGTAAAGGCTTAGTCTCTTTACCCTGACTGCAAATGTTTCAACCAGTTTTTTTAGTCATTGCCAGAATCAAGTAGTCGTGTGCCTCTGCTTACAACAGCTCATAAAAAGCTGCACTCTCAAGATGTTTGGCAGCTCCAGATTTGATGCAGTGATTAATTTTATTTTCAGTGTGGATACAGTTATAAGCAGAAATGTGCTGGGGGAGCTCATGGCTAAGACACTATCTCACCAAGACCGTAATAATCCTGGTTCTGCCTGTTTAGGCCGTTTCCAGTGCTAAAGTCAATGAGTTCATCTTTGGCTCATGCCCCGACCCTCCAGAAAATTTCATGGATCGGTTTAGTAGTTTTGCATAATCCGGAAGACTAACCCCCCNATGAAAATATTTTAAAAATCCAGATTCAGATCCAATAGGTCCAGATTTTCATTTGGATCCAAACCAAAATTTACACAGTCATCGATACCAACCCCCTAAATATGTGTAATAAAAAAAACAAGATTCACACATAATTCTCTGAAAAATCAACAATAAAGGTGAAAGAGAGCGTAAAAAATGATGGGACCCTGGATCAGATTCAGTTACATTTGATGTGGTATTAACTGTCACTTCACTGACCCCTGCAAACCTTCTGAGTTTTGCTCCGGAGCGTTCTGTTTTCAGTAATCTCACTTAGAGCCAATACCTGAGGCGCTAATGGCTCCTGACGTACCAGCAACCCATTAAGGTGGAGGCAGCCTGCCAACCCAGCCTGCTGCGCTGTCAGTTTACTGAACCCATGTTCCCAGATTCAGATTTAATCCTCTTCTAATGAACTGCATTATTTTCAGTATCGGCCGTCAGCAGGCCTTTGTAACATGTACAGCGTGTTATCGATGGCAGTTTAGCTGTTTCCCAAATGGTTACTTCACCGGCAGCGTCGCACCGAGCCTCTCCACAGAAGCTTTTCCCCCTGAGAAAACTACGCAGGTATCTGTGTGGTAACTCTCTGCCTCTCTGCCCCTCGGACCCCGGAGCAAAAGCACCATGAAAGGGCCGATTGTTTTCGGAGGCTGTGTGAGTTTCGTTACCGGTGAGATGCTGCGGCCTGAAGTGCTCTCTCATTTCAAGGGCCACCATTCTAATGCTTGTTGTTGTTGTTGCTCTTAATACAAACCATCAGAAAAAACATTTAGTCTCTCCTCTCACAGGTCAGCCTGCCCTATATGTTGTCAGCCACCAAGCGAAAGAAAGGAGAGGGGGGGTTTGATTTTAATTTTAACCTTGGCACGAGCTTATCATTGGGAGTGAGTCGGGCCGGCGTGTTGACTCAAAGTTTGCCCCTGGAGTTTTAGCGCCTCGCTCACCTGGTGACTGGGTGGGGAATTTGGCAGGGATGCATTCGAAGAGCGTGCACACAAAAAAACATGAATTCCTAAACGGTGCTTTTGGAAAATTGCTCTGCTCCTCTGAAGGCCATAAAGAGCCTCTGGTTGTTTGAGGTTTCTCTCAGCAGCCAGTGGAAAATGGCAGCTCCTCCTCCTCCTGCAGCGCAAAGTGAATATTCCAGATCTTTCACTGGGTTTTCACTTTCTGCCTCCGCTGCAGTCAGAAGATCTGAAAACTGCTGATCTGAGGACAGACTTCTAAGGTCAGGCCCTGAAGTGTTTCCACTGCGGTTGAAATTAAATCCGTGTTCGTCATCTGCCTTTTAGACGTTAGTTTGCGATAATGATGATGAGCTCTGGCTGCTGCAGCTGAGCCAGAAACAAAGTGGACCAGACTCTCCACAGTCTTCTCAGGCTGATCCTGGACTCACAGACTAGTCATTCAACACACCCTTCCTGTGCTGCGTCAATCCTCTCTGGTCAGACCGACGAAGCATTTTGCTTAAGACCTGTAAGACAATGAGATGCGACAATGGACAATCTAAAGCAGTGGGAGTTGCTTAGAATTAAAAACTTGAACTTTCTCACTCTAATAAGCTTCAAACTTGAATCAAAGCCTTCAGTCTCAGCTCTAATGCAACAAACGTACAAAGCCTATCTGACCCAGCGAACCCTAATATTTTTTTATATAGTGTTTATCGAGGCAGTAGGAGACTGCTGTTCATATCATTATCTTGCCAAATCCGTACTCAGGCCTGGGAATGTGTAATACAATGAGAGTTGCCCATGAGATTAGCCTGGTACCTGAGTATGTCACCTTAAGGTCAGATTCAACAGGCTCCTGCAGCGTCTGTAAAAGTTTCAAAGGCCTTTTTGACAACTTCTGCTGGAAGAAACCCACCTGTGATTATTTCGAGTTTGTTAAATTACCTTTTTGATGTGTGAGGTGTGATGGTTTCTTTCTCTTGACAGTTACATCATCGTTTCATAATCCGTTTTCCTGGAAGAACAGGATGTGAATTCTTAGAATCTCAGGTTTTTGCTTTGGATCAGACAAAACAAGACATTTGAAAACATCACTGTGAGCTTCAGGAGACATTGAGGCAACCATCTCCAGCGTTTGAAAACGTTCCTTTTTTCTGTGCAGGTGGTGAAAACCATCGGCTTACGTGAGATCTGGTACTTCGGACTTCAGTACATGGACAGCAAAGGTTACTACACTTGGCTGAAACTGGACAAAAAGGTGAGAATGTGCTGAAACACACTTGTTTTCTGTTTGATTTTGTCATAATATTATTTTAGTCTTTATCGTTTAAAGGCCAATTAGGTTTGAAGGAAACATTTTACTAGTAAAATGGGCCGGTGTGGAGAGCATGAACTTAAATAGATTTAGTTTTCTTATTATTTTATGTGGCTAGAAGCTGCCGACCCCGACCACAGCAGTTAATTATTTAACTTCTGCACCTGTATTCCTGCCTGCTTCTCCAAACTGCCACCACTAATTTATAGACTACAGATAAGTTCCTCATGCAACCCCACTGCAATAATCTGAACTATTCCTTTAAATATGTCAACATTCCATCTTTTGCAAAACCTCTTCCTGTGGAGCGCCATGAGGTAATTGAGAAAGAATGCATTCCTTTGAGTGGACGATGCAATCAGAGCTCTGGTGTTTGCCTTTCGGTCAATCAGTAGCCACCATATTGCAGCATGTACATGTATATATTCACATGCTCTGATGCAGTTCGACTTGACAGAGCAGCTCATTTTGAGTCAACGCTCTGGTTTCTGTCCGTGACGAGGGCAAGAACACGACATACAATCAGATGGAGGTGGATTATTTGATGAGAGCGTGACCTGTCTGTGAACCATAACTGCTCCTGTTCTTATGTTGTCTCTGAGTAAACAAGGTTAACTGCTTTTCATTAACTGCTGCTCCGGAGCTATTCATGAACACGCAACTGTGACGTGAAAACCAAATTGACCAGAGGAAGGGAGTCACGCCTGAAAATACAATTGTAACACAATAGGGCTGGAGATATACTCCATTTTAATGCAGTATATCTAATGCATCTTGTGGAAGCATAGCGTTCATTTCTGAGGATGTGCGCCTCAAATGAACGCAGGATACACGATACGTCATGATGCAATATGCAAGTATCACATGTAGTCTCCGGCCTAACAGCTACTAGCATAACACGCATTAATCTCAATTGAACTGTCAGTGGTGGTGTTGCATTTTGGGTAATGTAGGCGTACATTTTAGGGTGTTGCAAACTTGCAAAGATGATATAGAAAATACAAATGCTACATGAGTGGAGAACTTTATTTTTAATACACTAGAAAAAATGTATAGAATAGATTGAGACCGTTTTTATCTAACTGGATAAAGGGGAATTTCCTGACAAGTGAAATTTTAAAAAGTTTAGAAAACCATATCCATCCATCTAGATTGTTAGTCTATGTTCCAAATTGACTCATTACATTTTATTATAATAAAAACTGACACAGAGAAAAGCTCATCCTGCGTCAGTCAGCAGCAGAACTGTACACTGTGTGCTGACGCTGCGTCAGCTCATCAGCACAAAACTCAAACTGGAAGTTTCCCGGTCGCTTTCGGCCTCATTCTCTCCATCAAGACCGCTCGGTTCCTGTTTTGAAATGAGAGGAAGAGGCTCATTGTGTAAATTCATACAGTAGCAGGGAGTTATTTCAGTAAATGAAAATAGTAGATCCCCTTTTCGGAAGGGGCAGAGTCCCCTTTAAACTGCAGAATGTGCTTTCGCATGTGAATTGCTGATTCATTAGGAGTCAATAATAGGTAATATGATAGCACAGGTTTACAGAGAGGACTTTATTCAAATGATTTATTTCAGTGATGATATTATACAGCAACACGACTCTGCATGACTTCAGCTCTGAAAATTGAAGTCCTGTACACTTCAGATAAATTAAATATGTAAGTTAGAAAATATAGCAAGAGAGTAAATAAGCAGATTCCACCAAAATACTCATTTACTGTCATTACATAAATTAATTCACTCAACTGAACTATGTTTGAAATTATCTCCAGGTGTCGTCTCAGGACATGAAGAAAGAGAACCCTCTCCAGTTTAAATTTCGGGCCAAATTCTTCCCTGAGGATGTTTCCGAGGAGCTGATCCAGGACATCACGCAGAAGCTCTTCTTCCTGCAGGTGAAGGAGGGCATCCTGAGCGACGAGGTCTACTGCCCGCCAGAGACTGCCGTGCTGCTCGCCTCCTACTCCGTCCAGGCCAAGTGTGGAGACTACAACAAAGAAGTCCACCGGCCCGGATACCTGCTGTCTGAACGTCTGCTGCCACACAGGTTTGAGAGGACTAACTTTTGTTTCACATCTTAGCAGCTTTAGTCTGAAGCCTCTGGGTTTGGCACTGGCAGAAAATAATTTAGTCTTGTAAGGTGGTAATTGAAAAGGACAAATCTGTGAAGGTAGAATAAGCTAAGAGAGTCAATCATCAACACTGGTTTAACCTGCTGCGTAGAAAACTGTCATCTCCGCCCTTCATAAACAGAATAGGAAGATTTGAGGGCATTCAGACGCACATATGCATGTTCAAATTTTAAAAACCCTTCTATGGGGAGATGACTTTGGTGCATCAGTCATCATTGCACAGGTTACATGGTGGAGGAAAGTGAGTTCTGTATAACAGCTGGGTGTGTCAGGGACGGGTTTTTAGCTTTTCCCATCAGGAAGCATTGACGCAAATTATTGCAGCAAATTCACAAGTCTATAGAGGTTAGTGCACTTTCCCATGTGTCCTGAGGTCGTCACCTTCTGCAGTGTTGCTGTTGACCTGCTCTGCACAAGGTGATGTACGTAAGGGGACAGATAATTGTGTGTGGTCATCGTAGGCTGTGTAACAAGCACATCAACCAGGATGGCCATTATACACTATTATATTTGCTCTGCCTTGGTGCTCTGCTGGTGGCACACCCCTGTTGTACTTTTCTGTAAGAATATCCGTAGTGCAGACGAGGAAAACACTGCACCTCGGGGAAATCACCATTTTGCCAAATCAAGGTTTCCCTTTGCCTAAGAAAACATTCCTTCTTGTTATTTAACATAGCAGAGCCAGTTATCAGATCATCTTGTCTCCTGCCGTGTGACAGCTCAGCTGATCTTTGTTGTTTTTCCTCTGTGTTGTTTAGAGTCCTGGAGCAGCACAAGTTATCCAGAGAACAGTGGGAGGAGAGGATTCAGGTGTGGCACGAGGAGCACGGTGGGATGTTGAAGTAAGTGTGGGTTTCATTTCGTGCCGCTCATTAGTTTAAACCACATTCACATTTTAGCTTGAGGGGGCACACATCTCCACCGAGGCCCAACAGATTGAAACCACATTTCTATTCACTAGATATGGATTTTTATTTGGATCTGCACCAAACTGCATCCATGAATTACATGTAGTCTCTGAGAAATCAACGAATATGTTGGAAAATCTTGCAATGTTAAAATTTACAATTTACCAACAAACAATATAATAACAATAAATACTTGTTGCGCTGTCTTTAATCTTTAATCCGGCTGTATGAGCAGGAGTTGTATAGATTGACCTGTGTGTATTCTTGCAGGGAGGACGCCATGCTGGAGTACCTCAAGATCGCCCAGGACCTGGAAATGTATGGCGTCAACTACTTTCAAATCAAGAACAAGAAGGGGACAGAGCTGTGGCTGGGGGTGGACGCCCTGGGACTCAACATTTATGAGAAGGAGGACAAGTAAGAGCTGTGTCACGACCTACTCTTGAAATAATAAGGGCTTTTTCTTAGCGTCTGCTCTGGCTCTGGTTGTGTGCGTGTCGCAGGCAGCGGCTGTGACACAGAAGTAAACTGGCTGGGGCAGGTCCATGTCTGCACTTAATCACTGTTCCTGTTTCCCAGCAGACAGACAGTAGCACAGGAGTGACAATGAAGGTCAAATGGATACTGTTTTTGGGAGGAGTCGCTCCAAAGACGGAAATAAAACATCATGCTCAGCAATTTGCTTTTCATCGACTTACACCTCGTTATTATCAAGTTTTTCACACCTATTGTTGAAAATACTTTTCCACACTCTGCTGAATGTGAGTGTGAGTTATACTACAGATTGTTTACATAAAATATCTGCTATACATTTTAAAACCATCATTTTCTTTTTTTTTTGGTCAAGGCAGTCCACTTTTAACACTTTATCACTTCCACACACAATTGGGCAGAAGAAAATAAAAAACCCTGTTTTGTATTTGTGATTTTTCTGTGTTTGGACCTTGTGGTCAAAGTAAAACCTACTTTTCGAGACCAAGCAGGCTGTTACACCAGCGTCCAGCCCAGTCTGGGTTATGATTGCCACGTTTGTTTATAGGACGAGACAGTTTGGGAGGTAATCGCCCTCTTATTTGGTGAAATGAGTTTTTCGATCTCCTGCGGCCGCTGGTGGCAGGGCCCTGGTCTGTTGGGGTTACTGGAGTGAAGTACCCTGTGTTAAGAGGACGTTGGCCCCTCGGTCATTGACCCTGTGCTGGAAAACCCTCATTCACGACCAGATCGTAGCTCCTCCTTTGTATTGGTCGACTTTGTGTGGAAGAAATGAGCACAACTAGCTGCTGGCAGGGTAATGACACAGTTTAGCGAGTCAGTTGAAGCCTCTAATCGTCCTCTAGGAGAGTGGGGTTCTTTTCAAGTTTAAAAGGTTTAGTTGCTCTTAACTTTCATTGTGTTAAAGTTCATCTAATCTCTCAATTATGTAAAAACTCCAGAAGCACCTTGTTGAGAAGGTTCCTGTGTGTGTGTGTCCTTGTGTGAGTTTGTGTCCTCTTTATAAGCTTCCTGGGATCAGCAAAGAAATGCTTCTCCTCCGCGGTGCCCTCTGCTGTAACCATGACTACGCCAACTGGTTTTTCAAGCTGCGCAGCACTTAAGAATGCGAGGCTAACCTACAGCTCTGTCTCTCCAATGAGGGCAGCCGGACCACAATGCAGCAGTGCAGCCGAGGCCTCGCCAAGGCACAGTCTGGTTCTGGTTTAACTCCTTACATGCTGCCGCTCCACAAACCGCATCGCTGCTCCTTTTTTATAGGACAGAGTTTCCACAGGTTTTCTTCTTAGTAACCGTTGTCAAACACAAGACACAGAGTTTCCACACTTGAGATTCAAAATGGATGTGAATCTTAGCCATTACAAATAAATTGATTTTAAATATGTTTTTCTAGTTCAAACAATTATTTGAGTGATTAAGAAATATTTATTTATTGCAGACTTTATAAAAATAATCATTACTTTGATGCTTTCAGTCATTTTTATAACATTTCACAGCAAAAACACTAAACAACTTCTAAAATGTGACGTGCTGCTGCTTTTCTCTGTTTTATATCATAGTTAGTCGACTTGCTTTGGGTTTTGACTGTTCAGACAAAACAAGCAGAAACAAACATTGTCCATATTTGTGACATTTTAATAGAAAATAATCAGCAGATGAATTTATTATGAAAATAACATAATAATCAAGATTCACAGTTTTAATCTGGAGTATTTAGCCAGACTGTAACTGTGCATGAATCTGAAAATAACCTATTTTAATCTGTTGGTGGAGCAACTACATAAACCACAAGACTGGCAGAAATAGTCAATCACTAGAATAACATCCACATTGCTTTCTCAATTCCACAGGCGTGTGTCAGGATCAGTAATTGATTGAAATTCCAGTTTGACAGTTCAGTTTCACAGTCGAGTTTCGCTGCGAGGTGCATGGCTGCCTCTCCAGATTACAACACTATCGGCTCGTCAGTGTTTGCAGTACTCGTTTGCTTTGTGTTGAAGGAGATTGGCATCCGTTCAGTTTGTCTGGCACAATAGAAGAGGGAGCCACACCCTGGATTCATCCCTCGCACTGGAACAGTGGATCTATAGAAATCCAGGTTCACAGTCTGAGCCGCGTTTAGTCTCTGCTGGTTATCACAAGATTAGATGGCATTGAAATGAATTTTCTAGAACTGTTTGGTGTTGATTATGTCAACATAAAATATGAGACATAAGGTGGCAACGTACGATTATTGTCATTATTTCTTAATCTGTGTATTTTCTCAATCAGTTTAAAAATCATTTTTTCCCCTCAGAATGAGTCCTTTTTCCTGGGATCTGTTTTTCCTTGGTGCATAATTACTCACGAAGCCCAAAGTCCCAGTCTAATGCTCACGTTCATGTGATCACTTTCTCAGATTGACCCCAAAGATCGGCTTCCCCTGGAGTGAGATCAGAAACATTTCCTTCAACGATAAGAAATTCATCATCAAGCCCATCGACAAAAAATCCCCGGTGAGTAACGAAGCATCAGCTGTTGATACGATTTGACTCCTGCTGTTATGTTTTAATCTAAAAAATCTGCAAACACTCTTTACTTTTCATTAACACCATTTGCTAGTTGAGCAGTTCTTGTTCCTCTTTTCAGACCCTATTAAGTAGCAACAAGTTTCTGGATTGACCCTCTCCGCTTCCTTTTTACTGTTCTCCGCAGTTTCAATGTGCTCTTACGCCAGGGATAGTTTTCAGGTCGTTCTGTTAGCGATCAAATGCACACATGCACACATACCAGTGGCTGCTTCACTAAAGTGATGTTAGCAGTAATGAGGAATTAAAGTTTTCCCTGCACCTACTCAGAGCCACCACTCCACTCTTTGTCCTTTCTCGGTTCACCTGGTCTGGTCCGTTCTCTCTCTCATTCCCGTTTGACTCTTCTCCAAATTTCAGGACTTTGTGTTTTATGCCCCGAGACTGCGCATAAACAAGCGCGTCCTACAGCTGTGCATGGGCAACCACGAGCTGTACATGCGACGCCGCAAGCCGGACACGATCGAGGTGCAGCAGATGAAGGCGCAGGCCCGAGAGGAGAAGCAGCAGAAGCAGATGGAGAGGTACGCACACATCTGGAGGGAAGACACACGAAACCCTTAATGAAGGAATTATGATTTGAGCTGTTGCTTTATGAGGTTTTACTTAGACACAGGGATAATTTAATTAAATTGTTTTCAGCTTTTACTGTCAGTTCTATTATTTAACAATTGCTTTGATAAATTCTACCACATCCAACATTTTGAACATGCAGCTCTATGATGTTATCGGGACAGTATCACTCATTAAGTAGATAAAATAGTTTGACCTTGTTCTCTTGACTCAAACCTTTTGTATTTTTCATTCTCCACTTGAATCAGTGGAACGTGTAAAGGGAAACCACCGTTCTCTGGGTCATAACAACATTCCTCTTCAAGTATGGGACACGCACTTCCTGAATAGCCTGAACTAAAAGCGAATGGATGTTGACCCTGGTCTCAGCTACAGCCGTCGGCGCACTGTCTGTCCCGTACAGCTGTTCAAACACAGTGATGTAACGGCGAGCAGTCGACACAGTAAATACCAGAGGGAGAGCCATTAGATCACCAGAGGGTTCACACACTGTAGCTCTCAGTGGTCGTTGGGCCGGAGTCCAACACAGGAACACTTCCTCATTTAAAAAGAATTCAGTGCTTGGGGAGATTCTCAGGCTGCTGCTGCAGAAAAAGTGATGGAATGAAAATGCAGAAAGGTGGAATTCATACTTTGAGTCTAAAATAAGTCAAAAATATATCTAATAAAACTGTGGGAAGGAATGAATGCAAGAAGGCAACACTTGAAACGTATGTTAATTAAAGGTGGTTAAGACAAAAGGCTGATAAAAATGTTTACATTAATAAATGAACAGGAGAATGAAAGTTAGGGTGCAGGTACAGTGTAGTGTGAAATGTGAATTTATTTTCCAAAATATCATTTAATAAACCACAGTGACAATAGAAATCATTTTTAGCCTTAATTCAAAAGAACTCCAGGCAGTT